TTCAATCAAACAGTCATAAATTCTTATAAAAACTAACATTCAATTTAAATATCATATTTCTAATTTATAAATCATAACTAAAATTCTTATATAATGAATAAAGTATATTAAAATATTTTATCTCAATGTAATGCTATGAATGATAATAATTAATTAGTATTAACTATAATTAACACATTTGTATACTTTTTTGTCAATTAATAAATTCAATACTTAAATGCGAGTTAAATAAAAATCATATCAAAAATGATGAAAATTTGTTTGAAATGAGCGCCAATTGTAGTGATTATAAGCCATAGGTTTTGAACACAAATGTTATGAACATTGTTTACATTCAACACTTGGTCTCACTTTTGACACTTTAATCCACAGATCAGTCCATAAACTGAGAGACACTTTACGGACAACTCTTTCATACCATAAGTCCATCGCTTTGGTCACATCGTGTGTCACAAGATATCACACAAACGGATACAATCATCAAATCTGTGGTAAAATATGAAACCTTCTTAAAAACACGTGTTTTTAATTTATTATGAAATCTATGGCCAGAAATGCCGACAAAACTGTCGAAACCGTTATCACCGGGAGATGTGATCACTCAAGACATACCTATCATTCATATACTATTTGACAAATGCAAAGACAAATATTGCGACAATTGTTTCAAACGCTCGGATCAGTTGAAGAGATGCGCGAAATGTCTTCGTATGTATTATTGCGGTAAAGAGTGTCAGAAGAATGACTGGAAGTATCACAAGAATGAGTGCCCACTCTATCGTATGGACGAGGCTTTCCTAATGACAGAAAGAAACCGGTTTTGGTTCCGACTCTACCTTTCGGTGCAATTGATTCCAACTTTTGCCACAAAAAAGTACCGATTGTTTGACGGATCAGAAGTGAGTCTCAGAGACATCAAAGTGAGACACAGAGAGGTGAATGTCGACGGTTTGTTTGATTACATTGGATTCGTTAGCCAAGGGTTAAGACGATTACATTTACGTAACGACCGGCAGGAGGTTCGCCATTGGTTTGCATTCGTATATACTATTCCTCTAATTGCCATCAAATCTTGTGATGTCCCACATGTCGGCGACGGCGCTATCGGTCGCGGGCTATACATGCAGTACACACTCCTCGGCCATAGCTGTCAACCCAATAGCGCCTTTGTATTCAACGATCAAAGTATACACATTTAAATGCACTTTTTTTACCGTAATTTCAATAATGCTTTACCGATAAATCCATAGCAAAGTCAATGGAATTGCGAGCAATGCGTCCAATCGGCGCCGGAGAAGAGATTACCATTAGTTATATACAGATCTATAAAACTCGCGCCCGAAGACAGCGAGAGCTCCAATGGTTGACAATAGTGTGTGAGTGCGACAAATGTGTCCACCATTTGGACCGTCGGGTCGATTATAGGGCATCAAAAGTGAAGAGCTTTTGGCCATCGCGTGAGTTCTCATCCGCTGAAGAAGTAATGCATTGTCTGCGGGAACTGATGGACGAATTGGATGTGATTTTCGGTGATTATCATCCGCAGAAGACATGTCTTATTCTAGGAATTGTTAAGAAATTATTGCATTGTCCCGAAAGAGTGGTTCCCGAAACGCTTTTCGATGAAATGAAAGCCAATCTAATGAAAGCAATTGATGTGACATTTCTGGCCGACTGTCCACTGAGAGGTCAGTCGCCGAAGACGTTAACCGTCGATGAATTGACAGCAATTGAGAAACGTTTGGTAAATTCATGTAATATTGACATGTTTTGGGACTTTGAACCAGTATTTTATAATGGGTTGTAAAAGACAGTGATTTTAATCATAAATACTTTACGATTAGTTTATTATCGAATTAGTTATTGATTTTATTTGTTTTTTTTCTTTCTTATATTAATTGTCATTTAAATTACGGCAAAACCATTATTTTAAATGAAAACATTTTAATGATTAGTGAATTTATGTCGTGTTTATAATTGTCATTACATTTTCAAACATTGATTTACTCTAAAAATAGCTGTTCTTTCAATCAAAGAAAGTATTACTTATTGTGTAATAGTATTCATAAAACACTATATCATTGATATTAAAATCAGTTGTCAATGATTTTAATTTAATTTTGTGTCCACTTATGACATAGAGATGTGGTTTGATAAGTGATGGTTACTTCACTCAAGTATTGGAGATATGCAATTAATTTTTGATAATAATTTCATTTTTCATTTCTAGATTCTATTTCTTTGTACCTTAATAATTATTATTTTAATTAATATAAATTGTTTTTAATTATTTAATTAATTGCTGTAATTATCGGACAGCTTTCCTGCAAAATATGTGTTAAATGTTTGCTTAAATTAATTGAAATTGAAATGTTTGTATCAATTTTTAATAGTTAATAGTTTTAATACTCAAATAATTAGTTTAATTGATTACATTTTAATCACATTTTTATATAATGATATAATTTTATAGTGGTTTCAATATTAGGTTAATTAATAAATTCAATCATTACATGTTTTTTCCAATAATTATTTGAAATAAATTAATATATTTTTATAATTAATTAATTAATTAATTAAACAAATGAAATAAAATATCTGTTTGTTTGAAATGAGCGCCAATTGTAGTGATTATAAGCCATAGGTTTTGGACACAAATCATGTGATGATTGGTTTGAGTCAACACTTGGTCTCACTTTTCACACATTAATCCACAGATGAGTCCATCAATTGATCCACAGTTTAGTCACCGCTTATATATACTATAATTCCTGCCATTCATGACATGATTTGATTTAACAAAAGCACACAATCGGATCCAATCATACAATAAGTGGTAAGTCTTAAGAATTTCACTAAAAAACGTGTTTTTCAGTTAAAATTTCATCTATAGATAGAAATGTCACCAAAACTATCGAAACCGTTATCACCGGGAGATGTGATAACCGAAGACATGCCTATCATTCATATATTGTATGATAAAAACAAAGACAAGTATTGCGATAATTGTCTCAAACGATCGGATCAGTTGAAGAGGTGCTCGAAATGTCTTCGTATGTATTACTGCAGTAAAGAGTGTCAGAAGAATGACTGGAAGTATCACAAGAATGAGTGTCCACTGCTTAACCACGAATCGCTCCAATATTTTCTATCCGATGATTGGATGCGCTTTTGGTTCCGACTCTACCTTTCGGTGCAAAACATCCCAACGTTTGCCACAGAAAAGCACCGATTGTTTGACGGATCGGATGTCAGTCTCAGAGATATCAAAGTGAATGCCATTAACGACGACAAGAAATGCCGTCTTTTGGATATGATTTGCGATGATTTGAGTGAATTAAACATTGGTTGCGATCGACAAGAATTAGAGCATTGGATGGCACTTCTGTCTACCATTCCTCTCATTGCTATCAAATCCGGTGATCTGTATATACGACAAGAGGTGGACCCAATCGGTGCCGGTTTGTACGCCCAGTACTTACTGCTCGGCCACAGCTGTCAACCCAACAGCGCTTACCTTCTCGTCGGTAAAGGTTTGTTATCTAATCGATAATAATTACCATTTTGTTGACAATTATTCAATGAATAGATCTATCGATACAATTGCGAGCAATGAGACCGATAGCTGTTGGCGAAGAGATTACCATAAGTTTCGTGAATTTGTGTAAAAGCCGTGACGACAGACAGAAAGCGCTTAAAGTCTTCTCAATAGACTGCGAGTGCGACAAATGTGTCCACCATTTGGACCGAGATTTAGATTACATGAACTCAAAATTGATTGAATTCCTTCCTCTCGACGATTTCACTTCCGGCACACAATTAATGCATTATTTAAGGCAAGCGTTGAGTGAATTGCATGTCATTTATGGTGAATATCATCCGCAGAAGACATTTTATATGATATCAATACTTATGAAAGTAATCAATTGTTCACTCATTCCCGACACGCTTTGCGATGAACTAAAGGCTGATCTAATGAAAGCAATTGATGTGACATATCTGGCCGACTGCCCATTAAGTGGTCAGTCGTGGCAAACATTGACTTTGGATCAATTGGAGCGAAGTGACCAATATTTTACAAATGCTTGTTATTGTGATTAAAATCTTATGTAATATTACTATGATTTATGTAAAACTCATATTCAATACAGTATTCAATGAACAGTAAATTAAATTAAATGAATTTATTTGCAGTTAATTGAAAGTTTTCAATCGCTTACAAATCACGTCAAAACATGTTTTGTAATTCAATGATACAATTAATCATTTATATTATGGCAATCAATAAATTCAATATTAAAACTACATTTTAATACAATATTTGTTTGAAATTCGCCTTCAAATTATGGTTAACATTAAAAACTTACAGGTATTATCTATATTAGTAATGTCCCAGGTGCAATTTATGTTCATTTTTACTATGTAAACTTGCACGAGTTTACATTGAATCATAGGTTTTCTGGGAACTCCTAATCCATATACAGTATTAATAAACCAGATATTAATAAGTCATTGGTTTTATACAAATCATGCGTTCATTGCTTTGAGTCAACCCTTTGTCTCACTTTTAGCATTAATCCACAGATCAGTCCATCAATTGAGACACTTTACGGTCAACTCTTTTATGCCATTTGTCCATCGCTTCCAACACAAAATCTGTCACAAGATATCACATAAACGGATCCAATCATCAAATCTGTGGTAAGTTTTATAAATTCCAACAAAAACACATGTTTTTCAGTATTGTTTATGAAATCTATGGCCAGAAATGTCACCAAAACTGTCGAAACCGTTATCACCGGGAGATGTGATATCCGAAGACTTGCCACTCATTCATGTATTGGATGTGGAATTCAAAGGCAAATATTGTGACAATTGTTTCAAACGCTCGGATCAATTAAAAAGATGTACGAAATGTCTTCACATGTATTATTGCGATAAAGAGTGTCAGAAGAATGACTGGAAGTATCACAAGAATGAGTGTCCATTCTATGGACAGGAAGTAATACAAGTGTTGATAGAAGACTATTGGATGCGGTTTTGGTTCCGACTCTACATATCAGTCAAAAAGATCCCAACGTTTGCCACAAAAAAGCACCGATTGTTTGACGGATCGGAAGTCAGTCTCAGAGATATCAAAGTGAATACCAATCGTATGACCAAAGATGGGATCAATTATTATTTGTCCGCAATGTGTCTCGTCTTAAGACAAGTGGGCATAGATTTCACTCGAGAAGAAGTGAACCATTGGTTAGCCGTCGTGTTTACTGTCATTAAGGATGACATTAAAGCATACGATCCGCAGACGGGAACCGTTGCCCTCATTGGTCGCGGGCTTTACGTCCAGCACTTGCTTCTGAAGCACAGCTGCCGTCCCAACAGCTCTGCCATCATTAATCTCAACGGTTGTATATATGATATGAATTTTACCATAATTTCAATTATCATTTACAACCACTGATAGGACTGTCGATACAATTGCGGGCAATGACTGCGATCGCCGCCGACGAAGAGATTACCGTTAGTTTAGTTGATCTGGACCTAAACCGCGACGACAGACACTCAGCGCTCAAACAGTGTTCAATAGTGTGTGAGTGCGACAAATGTGTCCACCATTTGGACCGTCGGGTCGATTACCAACGCATGCGGACGACAGACCTCTTCCCACTCCGTGTCTTCACTTCCGGCCAACAATTGACTGATTATTTGCGCGAATTGTTGGACGAATTGGATCTCGTTTTCGGCCAATACTATCCGAAGAAGACTATTATATTGTCCACATTTGTCACTCAATTATACAATTGTCCCGTAATTCCCAAATGTGTTCTCAAGGAACTGATGGTCAGTTTGTCGAAAGCTATTGCTGTGACACAACTGGAAGACTGCCCTCTCATCGATCAGTCGCTAAAGAGTTTGCTTTCGGACCAATTGTCTGAACAGCGAATCGATGAGTAAAAGAGTTGTTTATTATTGTGTCGTAAATGTGTTTATTTGTAACCAAATCAACGAATTTACTAATTAAATAAGATTTTGATTAAAATTTTGTAAAATTCATATATTTTTGAAATTTGCGCACAAATTATAGCCAATTAAAAGCCACAAATCAAGTGATGATTGGTTTGAGTCAACACTTGGTCTCACTTTTCAGCCATTAATCCACAGATCAGTCCATAAACTGAGAGACACTTTACGGACAAATCTGTCATACAATTAGTCCATCGCTTCCAACACAAGACTTTGTCACACAATTGGATCCAATCATCAAATCTGTGGTAAGTTTTGCAAAATTCATTAAAAACACGTTTTTTTCATTTGTTATGAAATCTATGGCCAGAAATGTCACCAAAACTGTCGAAACCGTTATCACCGGGAGATGTGATCACTCAAGACATGCCTCTCATTCATGTCCTAAAGTTTCAACTCAAAAGCAAATATTGCGACAATTGTTTTAAACGCTCGGATCAATTGAAGAGATGTACGAAATGTCTTCACATGTATTATTGCGGTAAAGAGTGTCAGAAGAATGACTGGAAGTATCACAAGAATGAGTGTCCACTCTATGGCCACCCAATGGTCCAGATGTTTATCGACGACAATTGGTCCCAACTTTGGCTCCGACTCTACCTATCAGTGAAAACGGTGCAAAACTTTGCCACAAAAAAGTACCGATTGTTTGACGGATCGGATGTCAGTCTCAGAGATATCAAAGTGAATGCCATTGATTTGAACGACAACTATAAACGGGAACGTTTCCAAGGGATTGGTATTCTCTTTGAGGCATTACATATGGATTACGATCCCAAAGAAGTACTCCATTGGTTGGCACTGGTATTCACTGTCCCTAATGTGGCCATACATTCGGGTGACGAGCAATCGATTGAGTTCATCGGTCGCGCGCTTTACGCCCCGAACCTAGTGCTGGAGCACAGCTGCCGTCCCAACAGTGCACTCATTGTTAACTTCAATGGTTTTGTTAATTTGTATTTTTAGTTAAGTTAACATTATTTTAATAATCATTTTTGGTTATCATTCATTAGGAGACCTATCGATACAATTGCGGGCAATGAGACCGATAGCCGCCGGCGAAGAGATTACTATAACTCTCATACCGTTGGATCGAAACCGTGAGGACCGACACAATGCGCTAAAGCAGTGGTCAATTGACTGCGAGTGCGACAAATGTGTCCACCATTTGGACCGTCGGATCGATTACCGGCGTCTCATACCCTTCGAGCCGTTACCGCTTCACGTCTTCAGTTTCGGCACTCAATTAATGGATTATTTGCGGGAAGTGTTGACTGATTTGGATGTGGTGTACGACGGATGCCATCCGCAGCGGACAATGTTTCTGAAGGGACTGATTATGGATCTACAAAAGTGTCCACTAATTCCCGAAACGGTTTTGAATGAAATGAAAGCAAATTTCACGAATGAAGTTGCGGTCACTTTTCGGGCCGACGACCCGTTTAGGCCTGTCTTAGGACCCGAAGGGTTGGTTTCGTTCAACGCATTCGTGGAGTGCAAGGAACTGGTAAAATGCATGGTGTGATTGATCCAGGGTATTGTCCGCATTATTTGAATTTGTGTCATTTATTTGTAATGTTTTATTCAATTGCTGTAATTTTGGTTTAATTTAATAATTATCGTTTGAAATGTTTTTTTTTCAATGTGTGTTTAATTTTAATTATTCTATGAATTAAGCAACGATTTCATTGTTTTAATTGTTTAGCATTTATTGTTTTTTTTAATACAAAACATATTACATTTTAATTGTCTTTTAGAACCAAACTTTTTATTATATTGTTTTACTAATCGTTTTAATCGCTTTTTTTATTCATGTGTTGATTATTTTTTCATCACTATTTCATTTAATTATATAATTTTGTGTTAATTTATAAATTTAATGATTACATGTTTTTTCAATGATTATTTGGACATTAATTCAATTAATTAAACAAATGAAATAAAATATCTGTTTGATTGAAATGAGTGTCAAATGTAGTGATTATAGAGTAATATCTGTACTATCAGTGACATACGCCATGTCCATCAGGGAGCTTATGAAGGCTGGGATTATGATAATTAAGGGTTATTGTGTTTTATTAAGTGCCATCACGGTGTAAAGCTATTATTACTCGCCATAAAAATAACATCTAGTACAATACAAAATAGTATNCGGTCGTCTTGGTCAGCAGCAAATTCAGTATTATCTTGTTTAACAAGTTTTCCTTTTATCCAAAGATAAACATTTTGCAAATCTAAATATTGAAGCAAAACTCAAAACGGGGGTCGACTCCAACGGTGTCCAAGGTCTGCGAGCCGAACTTTTAATTATCTGTCGCCCGTTGTGCCTTCAGTCTTGTTGAGCATGTGAGTCGTATAGCAACCGGTCCCGCGTTAGCCATCCAAGTCTCGCATCCGGTTTATGACTCACGTCCTGTCATCGACTCGCACGTCTGGTTAACGGGGCTTGCAGTCTTGCACTCGGCCTCTCGAGACTCGTCTCCGGTGTCCGTCTCTCCGGTCCGGTCTCTCATGTCCGGTCTCTGTCGCTTTTGTCGGGCCTCCGTCTCACGCTTGCGGTCGCCGTTTCTCTTGTGTCCGGTCGTGCATGCGTCTCGCCTGGTTTCTAACAAGTAAAGATCTGCTAACTACCAATTTTCAATTTTTTGATAAATTTCAAGTCTATCATATTATTGATTAATTTGCAATTTGATTGTAAAAATTTCTTATTAAATGGAACTGTAAACCGCTTTGCCCGAACCTTCAATCACATTGATCACATTTATATCAAACAGAAGTTACCTGTACGCGTACTCAAGTTAAGATCTGCTAACTACCAATTTTGAATTTTTCAATAAATTTGATTAGATGGTATACGAACAGTTTAATCGTTAAAATAACATTATTAAGGAATTACTTACCTTGACAAATCCGCTTTGCCCGAACCTTCAATCACCTTGATCACATTTATATTGGAACTGGTGTTGGGGTGTGATGTAATAGTATACCAAGCAGTGATTACCAAATATGGTATCACAAGATGTGAGAGCCCATCCCATCACCAGTTGAGAGAAGAGATGCTGCACTCAATCTGTCTATTCTCTCCAGAATACCGGCAGCCCTTTAAGAGCACTGACGTGTTGTATGTGTTGTTTGTGTGCTATTATGAATAAAACCCTTATTTCATTGTATTTGCCTATTTATTGATTAGGAGTGTGTTTGTGGTTCGGCGAGTGAGTGGTCAGTGCGAGTGTGAGTAATGGGTATTCTCGAGTGTGAAACGAGTGTAGGAAAGGCTGCTTTTACCTCGTTACAAGCAAGGGTGGGATTACTACCCCCTAATTCTCCGACCCCTCCCAAATTAAGATCGGCCGAAAACGCTCTGGAGGTGTGAACGTCTGCCGAGATCAGGAGCGCTAAGCACCTGAACCGGGACGCTAAGGACCGGCCGATGACTGACGCGCCCTCCTGTTGAAGCCGATCTTCCCTTACGCCCCCATTTGCCCTAATTGTACCCCTTTAATCATGGTAACCCAAATTGTGTGTAATTTTCATTGTGTAATAAATTGAATATTTTGTTCGTATTATGTTTCCTGTATGAATGAGTGTACAGTCCATTCAAATATTGATGATCTGCTGTTGTTGTAGTGGTAGTCGATGACCATGTTGTCCTTCACGGACATTATTTGTACGATTCCTGATGCGTTCACAATCACTATTACTGTCGTTCCGTTCGGTATCTGTATTGATAATGCAGTCATCATTGCTGTCACAATTGGTATCATTTGGTGTGGTTTGGGTTACACTTGTGTTGACTCTAGTGGCCAACAACTGAGCGGATGGTTGTCCTGCACTTTGATATAACTGGTGGTAAAGCAGTGACGAAAGCATTACTGACGGCCCGTTCAGATATGATGTGCTGGACGTGTAGTTGGCATAATAGGCGTGCGCTGACAGCCGAGCGGCCGCAGTGTATGAATGACTCACTGATTGTGGCAATAGTGAGGCGACGGCCGCCACTGCCGTACTGTTGGCAACGGTTGGCGTACTATTGAAAACCGAACTCGTGTTTGTGGTCACAGTCTTACCACATATAATGCACTCTATTCTTACATTTATTACACAATTACTGATTGGTATGAATAGAAGCGACAGAATTGAGTGAAAATAATTGAATTGAATTTTGCTCTTGAATTCAGAGATCAATTATAAGACAATCTTTTTCGTTTCGGGCAATTCATAGATATTTGTCTCAATAGAGCCTCAATCAGTGAAATATGAATATAGTGTACGGAAACTTGAA